CTCTGGGTCCCGCTCCCGGCGCGACATGGCCCCAGCCCCGACCCCGGCCCCGCCGCGCGGAGTCAGGTGACGCGCGTGGCCCCGCCCCCTCCCTCCGGAGCCGCTCGGAGTGGGAGGGGCCAAGCGGGCACCAAGGGGAGGCCAAACCATTTGTGCGGGAGCGGGGGGGAGGTAGCGGCGGTGGGCAGGGAGCGCCCCCGCGCGGCCCGCCAGGGAAGGGCTGCGGGGCGCTCGGCGCGGCCCCTCCGAACGGGCAGCGGGCGGGCGGAGCTCCGCGGGCCGGGAAAGCGGCTCCTCTGCCGGGGCTGCAGACACCGCGCCCGGCCCCGGGGAGTCCGGCACACCGGTGCTTAGCGGGGTGCTCGCGAGGGCAGCTCTGCAGGCAACGGATCAATCAGCTGCTTTTCCTCTTTAAGCATGTCAGTGACAGCACCTGCTGGGGGCCGACGTGACCGCCAAGTAATTAACAGGCGTGTCTCCATCGTGTCCTGTGCACCGCTGAGCACGGCACAGGAGGGAGGTGGAAATACCCCTCTGGCTGATGGCTGGACAGCTTCACCCTCACAGGAAACGGGGATAATAAAAAAAGCATCCAAATCTCTTAAACCCTCTTTTAGTGCCTTAGCCAAAGCCCAAGCTCTTTAATAATGTAAGACCTTTCAAATATTCTTTTAGCATAGTCCAACAGCTATTTATATTTCATTATGAAACATTTTGTTGAGTTAAAAGTGCTAAATAGCTACTTTATTTAAGGAAAAAAAAAAAAAGAAGAGAAAGAAAAATAGAAAAAGAAAGTATAATGCATGCAACCCTCCAAACTACTAACCTCTTTTAACTTTCCACACTAGACTTTTGGTTCACTGCTACAAGAACAGCTTCAGCAGCAGTAGATGTAGCTGGGCTGCTACCTGAATCACTACCTGCCATTTTTTCTCCAGAACAGGAATTGCAAATATTAAAACCAAGATAATACATCTATACGTACTTAAAATAAAATGTATGACTCGTTAGATGCACTGTTTCCTTAACGCCCATTAACATTTGTTTATCTATCAAAAGTAAACTGCTAGAAATTAAAGTATGCTTTGATCATTGATCTAATTTTCTAGACAAAAGACAAACAAACATATAAATCAGACAAAATAACACACAAAATTATCATGGTAATAATTTGAGATATACCGGCCTTCAGTTATCATAAACCATTAGTAGCAAAGTGAGTGTTAGATACAAACTGAGATAGGAATGGGGTGCTGCAGTGTGCAGCCTCAGGCAGGGCTCTATGGGAAGGTTCTCGCTGTCTCCAGCTGCTTCAGGTATTTTTTACAGTGGTACCATGCAAGACTCACAGATTTTTCAAGCAGTTAACTCCTGAATTCTGTAAAAGATTACTCTCCACAAAAATACATGACTTAGACTGAGCTTAATCAAGTTCAACTCAGCTCAATGAGTCTAAATGGCATTTCATTTGCTGTTTCCATTTAAGAACTGCAATGGTCTGGCCAAAAGCCTTTATCACTTGGTTTAAGAAAAGATTCTATGCCACTCCTTCTTATAAGCCTTCCCTTGTTTATATTCTTGCTGGCATGGACAAACTGAAATTTTAAACTATTATCATCATGCATGTCCTTCTAGTTTTTGCTGGCCCCTATTTTTAAGGTTTCATGTGAATAAAAAAGTGTATCTATGTGAAATAATAAGAATAAAGTAATTAATAAGACTGATATGCTCCACTCATTTTATTAAACAGTAAATTAATTCCACTGAATGCTTAACAAATAATCTTTTGGCCGGAGAAAGTTAAGAGAATAGACACGCAATCTCTGATAAAAAAAGTACAGGTGAAAGGATTCTTACCTACTGGATATATTCCCAATAACTAGGGAAAGACTGCTTCAGAAAGATTTTCACTTAGCTATTTTAAATATATTTTAGTTTTGATAAAATGTGATTATCTTCTTCAGTTGAGAAAGAAAAATATTTCTGCATGTATTGTAACATTTAGAAACATCTGAGATTGCTTTCTTCTCCAGGAAGTATCAATACAGGACAAAAGACAGACTTCAGAGTTTGGAGCCTAACTGAGAGCATTTTGCTACAATTTGTAGTAAAGCCTCATAAAACATTAGGGTACTGTATATGGAGTATACCTTTACAAATCTCCAGGACCTCTGCCTTGTTTTGCAGAAATACAGCCATCTGTTCATATCTGGAAGGGTTTGGACATAAGAGATTTCTAGAAAAAGTGTGCCCTGTGATGTTGTCAGTTGCTGGAATAAAAATGAGAATACCTACATGGGACAGCTGGGTTCTAAAGATCCACAACTGTTCAGTGTTTGAGCCTGCCTTGCTTTCTTCCATGCTCTATCTTGCTCCTACAGCTGTGATCTCCATGGCTCTGTCCTGCGTCTCGGTGCAGGATGATTTCTATCAGGTACCAGCAAATGTTGTGTTGGCTGCTGGCTGGCCAGGTTCCATCAGCTTCAGCAGGGAGTGACTGTGCAGACTGCTCACATCCACAGAGTAACACCAAAGAACTGCATAAATATCATCTGCTCATCTCACCTTCCTCTCCATCCCCCGCCTCAAGATTTCAGTTTAAAGCAGATTTTATTTGTATCTGAAAATGAGATTTGGTCTAATAAATACATTTAGTTAAATAAACACACACAAAAAAGTCATAATTATTTTTAAAATATATTTTCCATTTCCCAAACAGACACAGAAAACATCAAACATTTCAAAAAGTCAATATTAATATTAACTGTTAAATTGATATATTAATAGAAAAGCAAATAAGAGCTGGTCACATGATGACTATGTTCCGCTAAAATGATAAAGCAATGAAAATACCAGACATTTCAGCTTGCCTGATTTGAAATGAAAAAACATGGCATGTAAAATTAGATATTAGCATAACATGTATTAATGATATGCACGTTAATTACACTTAAGTATATATACCAAATACATGTATTATCAACATACTATGCAGTGTACATTGTATGTATAAACAGATAGGATATACAGCACATAATAAATAATATATTTTAAATCACTGAATAAACATTCATATTTGTTACATAATGTAAATTGGATAGTACACTCAGTATATGCTTATTCCATATATTACATTAATGTAAATGTTATGTTGGTAAGACACTCATCTGTATATAAAATATCATTTTTTTAAAATTGCAAATCAGAAAGAGGAGCAGGGAAGGACCTGAAAGAAAATGGAATAAATGGAGAACCTACCTGACAAGAGAGAATTAAACTGGCAGAGTTGCTTATTCTTTCAAAATTAATGCTGAAAGATAATGCAGTTGTTCTTTACATAACCAGTCAGAGAGTTAAAAGGTCACAAACAGAAAATAACTCTGAAACTAAAGAACAATAATAGCACTAAAACAAAAAAGTGTCATCCCTTCACTAAATCTGGGATGATAATTTGAATCCATCTTTTTAACACTGAAGAAAACATCTCTGAAACAGTTCCTTACTTTTTGACAGCTTGGTTCAGAATCTTTCAGAAGCTACTTTTGAGGCAAGTTTGTTTTACAAAAGATACGTAAGGATGTAAGTAACAGTTCAAACTTTGCTTTACATTTCCATACTGCTCTATACAGCAATAAATGCCTTCTTAGACTGTCAAATTTTAAATGTGGTATGACAATTATACATGGAACTTGCTGTATTTCTGAAAATCACTACAAAACTGATTGGATAAATTGTTGATGAATGAGTTTCAGGGATGAGAACTCAGTAGAAAAATGCATCTCCAACTTTCTCCTTACCAGTTTATTCTGCTTTCATTATCAGTTTGTACCTTAATTTTTACACTAGAAACTGAACTTTTGCTATGCAGCATGCCTCAGTCATTTCAAATTAACAATTTCTCTGGAAGCAGCATCTAAGCAACTGGCTCATACCTCTGCACTGAAAACTCAGTCTGATATGTATTAATTATTCTGGAAGCCTTTTAGATCATCATTGCACAGTAGTCAGAAATCTGGCTCTAAGTTGCCTATAATACTGCTTGGTGTTTTTCCTTCTGAGTCAGTTACAGTTAGTGCAGAATTCACCACAGGCTTCCTTCAGCAAAAAATCTCATTTTTCATCATGTCATCAAGACTTTGACACACTCAAGCCAAAATCCAGATGTTTTTCAGGTATGCACATGAACTATCTCAGCTGCATTTCATCCTCTTGAAACAGACACCAGCTCTTTAGAGGACAAATGTGACAGTCCCCTCCGCTCCCTTTCCCTTATCCAAGATGGCTATGGAGCGGGCTCTTTCTGCCCTCAGCTATGATGGCTATCATAACATTTTCATGGACTTCCCGCCCAGAAAAAGGACGGACACAGTGCGCTCCTGCTGCCCTTACCTAACATGGCTGCGAGGTGTTCTGTCTGCTTCAGCTGTGTGACAACGTTTGCAGAAACGAAGCAGGAGCTGGCACTTCCTCCCTCCTCCTCCTCTGAGCACAGCACGGCGGCCGAGCACTTCACACCCAACTCCTCATCCACCTGTTGCTTTCCACAGGTCTGGGATGGACACTTTCTGGTAAGCAGCAGACACCTCACAAAATATCCATACAATAGCTGTATCCTCATTTCAGAATACAACTGCTTTCTGTATTTTTATCTTAGCCTATGAATCTGTCCCTGATAACTTCTGAACTCATCAGGCAATTTGAAATAGGAGTTAAAAAGCCTGAGGGATAACTACACCCACGCAGCTCAAATGAGAGCTGGCACTCATGCAGAGAAGGGTGGGTCAAATTAATGTCCTCGACGAGCAGTGGGTACAGCTCAGTTGTTACATGAGCCATTTGGCAGTGCCAAAGAGATCTAGAAAGGCAGCTGGCACATAGCATTGATTCCCTGTGAGACTGTCAGAGTGGGATTTCTCCAGGAGATGAAGAAGGATTCAGGAAAACATAATATGCCAGTGGCTTACAGTTTAAATGACACAGTTATATTATTATTATGTTATTATACATAATTAGAACATCAGAAAAAGGTATCATTGCTCACTTTATTATTTTATCATTCTAGTAGGTCCTGTAGATGATAATGGATCTTTTTAATCTCTAATTTTACTTTCAGTCTCCTTCTTCCATTAAACATGCCCACAAAAATATAAAAAATAGAAACATTCTTTTCATTGCAACACCTGTAGTACCCCTTGTCCCCACTTTTTACACTTTGCAGTTCCAAAGTGCTCTCAATTATTTCTACTTTTGCAACTAATTACCTGAAATGTAACTCCTAATGGACCTATATTTATTCTCTCTTTCTCCACTTCCTTTTTTATACCTTTTCTTCTCCCTTTGATTAGTTATGGCACATTGTGTGCTGTAAGCAACAGCCACACTGAATTTCCACTTATTAAAAAGATTAGCAAAAGCAAATTATGATTATATTTATCAGAGCAGTACAATCTCATAAGCTGATGAAAGCCACGAAGTGATGTGCCAGTTATATCTTTTTCCCTGTCAGGAGAATTAAAACTACGGATAAACAGTTCTAAAGGTTCCACCTATCAGTTATTTGGTTCTGTCTTCACAAAATCAGACTTGTCTTTAATCTTGGACTTCATTTTTCTGTTTCAAACACAGATGCTACAGCATGGTTTTGCTGTCTTTTTCCCACTGGATTGTTTGAAGAAAACTAGCCTGTTATAAATCAATCTCCCTTCCCCAAATCACAGTGCAGTCAAAAACAAAGGTTAAAAAAAAAAAAAGACAGCCCTGAGACTTTACTGTGCTACAACTAAGAATGCACCCATCATGCTTTGTCTCATACACTGCACTGCCTTATCTTGATTGCTGCTTTTCCCTCATCCACTGCTGAAGTGCCTGGCCCACCTCCACTCCTGTCCTCCACAGCTGCCAGCTCTTTCTGCCATCTCCCATATCCCTAATCCTAACACCCTGTCACAGGGTAATTATAGTGCTGGCATGACCCCAACATCTATCCTATATCAACAATTTCCACTTGTTTGCTTTACAGGGAATGACGGAATTTAAAATGTATTTGGACTGGACAGACTCGTTCAGCACTAGCCTACCATATGACCTTGACAAGTGACCTTTCCTCGGCTTCTAGAAAACGGGCATAAATATGACTTTGGATGATGCTCCATGCCGTACTGAAGGAAGACACCATCTCAGTCCTGTCCCTGCAGCCACTGCTCCAAGAGTCCCCCTGCTCCAGCTGCCAACCTGCAACGAGACATGGCAAACATGGCCAGTATTCCTTCCGCCTCAGGACACACCAAACCACACTGCGGCTCCCTAGGTTTTTAATCTGGAATCATAAAACGACCAGACGCGCACGGGGAAAGCAGGAGGATGCTCAGGAGACTCCTGAAGTTTCTCATACAAGCTCTGCTGGGAACATATCACCTCAGCCCCTTCTCTGAGCTCCACACTTTCACACAATCACAGAATATTCTGAGCTGGAATCAGACCATCGAGTCCAACTCCTGGCCCTGCACAGGGAGCCCCAAGAATCCCACCGTGTGTCTGAGAGCGTTGTCCAAGAGGTTTGTGAACTGGCAGTCTTGGGGACATGACCACTTCCCTGGGGAGCCTATTCCAGTGCTCGACCAGCCCCTGGGTGAAAAGCCTTGTCCGAAAATCCAACCCAAACCTCCTCTGACCCGACATCAGGCCATTCCCTCCCCCTTATTTATAAGGGCTGACGGGCCCCGCTCGCCTCCTCCCTCCCAGAGCAGAGAACAGCAACGGCAAAGCGACGGCACGGAGCCGGGGCTCACTCACCTCAGCGACCTGCCCCGCGCTTACACGTCCCAGCCGTGGCCTTCTAGGAGGAGCAGCCACCCCTGTCCCCTGTTCCTTGTCACCTGTTCCCTGTCCCCTCTCGGCCTGTCCCGCCGCCCCCTCCCCGCGCGCCCGGAGCGGGGCGGGGCCCGCCCGTGCAGCAGCCTCAC